TCCAGGTATGGTCAGAGGGGAAATATGTGGCCTTTGAGTTACAATGTTTCCTTTTTCTCTGTACATGATCATTTTACATGGAAGAATTTCTTTCACATAGTTGGCAACTTTATCATGCAAATGTATACTTTTTCAACTGTGGTAACAATAATGTGTGAATGACTTCCCTTTTCATATTCACAGCAGTTTTACTAGAATGCTAGACCTTGAAAGGGCTTTACCAAATAGCTGATTCATATGGGCTTTTCATTTTATAGTTAAACTGTTAGAAGTGGTTTGGTGTGTTTGTACAAAACCCAGCACACATCTGGCATGGTATTATCATTCAGTAACTTGATACCATATTCTTTTTTTTTCAGTCATCTTAATTGTCCCCAATTTGATACTTGATTTCCTTCTATGTTTCTTTATGGTCACCATGTCTGAAAAGTTGTAATACCAAGGAACTGTTTGTCTGTCTGTAGGTGTTTTCCTGGAACCTAACCTTAAAAACCCAGACCCTTAATATATGGTCCATAAAGGACACACAGAGCAGCCACTGCTGAGCCTGGCCCACAAAACAATGTCTGGTCCAGCCCATGTTAGCAATTTAGTCTCTCAGTCACAGCACCCAGGCTCCCTATCTACCCACACATGAGCCTGTCAGAGATCCAGGCCTAGGAAGAAGGCTCATTTATTATCCAAAGATTGAGTTCTCTTCAGTCACATAAGGATTCTATTTATTTTGACAACTTTTAAGTTCAAGTGGGAGAGTATATTTTAAAAATGGAAAGATTAACTAGCACAAACATCTCCTCTCTGATTTGATAACCTCTTCTGAAGAATGAACAACATTTGGTACAAATCCACTCTTCACCCCTTCCCAACCCTCCTGTATTGTAATCTCTCCACTTTTAACCAGCTCATATATGTCTCTTGTCAGGTCTGTGAAGGCTTTCTCCACATTAATGGCATCTCGGGCTGACGTCTCAATGTACTTCATGCCGTATGCAGCAGCCAGTTTCTCGGCCTCGTGGCGAGTCACTTGCCTCTGTGTATCCAGGTCACACTTGTGACCCACCAGAACAAATACAATTTGGTAGGGCTGAACGTGTACTTTGGTCTCTTCTAACCACTCATGGACATTCTGGAAGGACCTGCGGTTGGTAATGTCAAATAAGAGAAGACCACCTACTGAATTCCTGTAGTAGGCGCGAGTGATGGATCTAAAACACAAGAAAGAAGTAAAGAATAAAGTTCATGCCCAAACTCCTTCACTCTAATGAACTCAGTGTATTCTAGTGTTCCTGACTACTGACAGTCCTTTAGTAAATACAAATGCAATTCTATAACAATAATGACAAGTTTTCAATTGAGTAAAATGAATAAGAATGCTCATGAACTTTCAGGTGTTTTTCCTTGAATTTATTATAATCGATAGGAATTATAATTGATGACCCCTGAAAAATACCTTGTAAAATATTTCATTTTTCTACTTATCATTAACTTGTTTTTTGTTTGTTCCCATTATTGCTATTTTTTCTAGCAGGGGTCATCAATCACTTCTGTGAAGAAAAAGACAATCTTGTTTTGTATTTCCTAAGCCATGTGGGAATGGGAAAATGAGGATGGTAAGATGTTCTGAGGCAAAGCAAGAGAAATGGTTCAGTAGTTAAAAGCACTATTTGCTCTCCCAGAGGACCTGAATTTGATTTCTAGCACCCACATGGCAGCTCACAACTGTCTTTAATTCCAGCTTCTGAGAATCTGACATCCTCTCCTGGCCTCCATAGTTACCAGGCACTCACAGACATATGTGAAGACAAAACTCCATACACATAAAACAATATATTTAAAATGTTATGAAGAAAAATCCTATCAGCTCTATTCACTGACAAAATCCAAAGAGGCTGACTGAGGAAGCTGTAGCTGGGAGAATCTACCAAAATAGTGAAAGTGTTTCAATGAAGTTATATTATTATTTTGAATCATGTAATTAGGTTATTTCAGCCTACTTGTACATTTACTTCTCAAACAGAAGAAGCATCACATATTTTAGTTTCTTGAGTTGATGAGCCTCATTATAAATATATATTATGGTATTTTGCTTAAGAATGTAGGAGTTCATGAAAGGATGTAGAACAATTTGCCTATATAATCACTTGCTTCAGACTACTGCAATTTTTGAAATCTATTTTTAGGATTTCTGTCTTCTTGAGAGGATATAATAAATAATGAAGAGTTCTATAGCTGAAATTGTATGGGAAAATGTCCCAGTGTTAATGTGGGGGAAATTTCAGCCCAAGCTAGAGGATAGTATGGGTAGGCCTTACAAGTAAGTCCAGGTCTCCAGAACCTGGGAGATTAGCCCCAGGGAGCAGATATTCCTTATTTCTTTATGTTTGAAGATTCATGGAGAATGATAATTGTATCAGAAACTGTTCCATTTGGTGAAAATGTTAATTTGAGAAATCAATGAACAATATATTAAAGCTCTAGAATATATTTATGCATTAGTGGTTTGTATTTAGCACAGAAGTTATCAAAGTATTTTAATCATAGTATAAAGCTACATATAACTAGACACCCACCCTAAATTTAAAAAAAAACATAAGAAGATAAATGACAAATTGGGGAAATAGCTCACAACATACATGACATAAAAGGGTTAATGTTCTTATTAGACAGAAGTCCAGGCTGGCTTTCAACTACTCATCATCCTCTTGCCTCAGCCTTCAGAGGGCTGGAATTATAGGGCTATGCCACCACTGTTGGTGTTGGGGTAATCTGTAAAGTACTCCTACAAATCAATACTGTATAATATGTAATGACTAGTAAATATGAACAAGCTGTTCACACAGAGATCCCAGCAAACATATAAGAGACCTTTATTCATGAGTACTTGTATAAAGTATGCCAAAGCTTTGTACAAGTGGAAAGTTAGAAGCAACTTAAGTTTGTAATTATTATTCATATCCATCTTCAATTAACTAACTAACTAACTAGTATCTTCTGTGTTCAACTAATGTTCAGTGGAGAATGAGTCAGTGTACATAAATATAGGGTGTTGAGTCTTTTTGCTCTGGTTCTTCCTGTTCTACCTTACTTTAGTTCAAACTGCTCTCTACAAAGTTTTTATTAGTTTGTTTTCTGTCACTTATGTTTTTATTTATGCTGCTTCCCATTCTGGGCATTTCCTATCTTTACTTGGGCTTCATCTTCTCTGGTTAAATTTCTCTACTCTGTATCCATACATGAAATTACAAATACATACTACAGAGGAAGAGCAAAGGATTGTGAAAGAAAAATAAACATGCTGATTGATTATGTACCCAGTAGTACAGTAGGGAGTGGCATATAAATACAAACAACAAAACTCTCTTTCGTGTGATGCCTCTGTATCTGTTTCTTCTGACCATGCTAGTACTGAAGTTCCAAGAAAGCAGGGGCTCTGTCTGTTTACTTTATAGGGTATTCTCTTATGTGAGTAACCTCATACTATTTCTTCAGAAAGGATTCCACCCTCTGGCAACTGACTGTATGATGATTACAAGAGAGAGTCAATTAATCAGTTTCCATTTTCTTCATATTAGGATATATTTACTTTCTCTGTGCCTCTGTCTCTCCCTCTTTATTTTCTTCCCCCCAAATAGAAACGGATATATAGAAGTCAATATACATCTATCTACTCTACCTACCTATAGCTTTCAGTTATGTTAAAATTACTTGGATTAAAAAAACCCCAAAAACTATGAATCATAGGGTCTGATTGTGATGAATTATATAGTGGTCAATTTCAAGTTATTTATTAGCTATCAAAAAGCAGATTGATGGAATTGTGGTTCAAATAATGTGATAATGAATGGCCTTCCCCTGCCTGGGCGGTTCTTACCCTGCATCGAACTCAAAGATAGCTCAAAGTGAGCTTGAGAAGCCCCAGACAGACCCTTGCTTGTCCCCCTGGCAGCATCACGAAAAGAATCAGGAAGTCCTCTTTCCCCAGGGGTTGAATAAGGCCCAAAGACCCTCCCACTGCTCGCGCGGGCCCGTGGTGCACTCCCACCTGAACCTCTCTTGACCCGCTGTATCCCAGATCTGGAGCTTGATGCGTTTTCCTGGTTCGATCTCCACCAAGCGGGAGAAAAAATCTACTCCCACGGTGGGATCTGAAACCTGAGCAAAGCGGCCCTCGGTGAAGCGGCGGATCAGGCAGGACTTGCCCACCGTGGAATCGCCGATGACAATGAGCCGGAACTGGTACAGCCAGATGGCCTCCATGGCCGTGGCCTGGCAGGACTCTTCAGCCCGGGCCTGGGGAGGCGGAAGGGGGCGCCCCACCAAGGCCTTAGCGCAGATCAACCCGTTTGTAGATTGGTCCCGAGCACATCACTGGCCTGGTAGCCTGAAGCAAGGTAGGCCCAGGCGCTGGGGGAGCGAAGGGATGGATGCTGCGCTCGCAAAGGTGATGAAATGGCAGCAGCATCAGAACCACGCACTCTGACTCATCACTGAAAACCGAGTTACTGTAATTCTCTGCGTAGACGCGGCACTAGTTTCACCACACTGTCTGTTAGAGGAGCGCACACAAAAACGGACAGGAGAAAAATGTGTTCCGTTTTTAATTATATCAACCACTCTCCTCTAATTCTCTGCCGTTACAATTGCGAATATAATTTATTTTTATTAAAGCTAGAAAAATACAAAAAAAGTGAAAAAAAGTCCGCAATTGAATAATTGTCTACGGGCTTCCATGCTCTTGCAAATATTTTTATTCAGGCATATGCATGTGCATTTATTGCTATTTTTTTTTTAACACAAAACTTAACTTTTAATCCTATACGTTTAGTGCAAATAACTATCATATATGTCTCTCCATTTCCAACACATTTTTTAAAAAATCATTCATACTGTTTTCCCTAATAGATGTCCTAATTGATTTGTAACCAGTGGTGTGCAAGCATTCCCTTTTCTCTACATACACACAGACACGTATTATCTTTAGTCTTGTTCCCTACCCCCAAATTAGAAGAGCACAAACTCAGTCTCCCCATTACCACAAATTATGCAGTTAAGTTTCCCAGCAGTTGGAGAAATCACAGGGAGTCAGCACATTCTGAGTGCAATGTGTAAGTCTTGCTATGGGTAATCTGCCTTCATGCTCATGATCTTTCTTGTATCAGGTAGGTATCTCTTGTCTTTTTTTTTTCTTTTTTTTTTTTATTGGATGATTTATTTACATTTCCTATGTTGTCCCCTTACCCCATCCCCCACCACCCCCTCGGAACCCCCAATCCCCTCGCCCCTCCTCCTTCTTCTCTGTGGATGTAACCTCTATCTACACCCCCCCACTCCCACCTCCCCACCCTCAAAATTCCCACCCCTGGGGCATCCAGCCTTCATGAGGTCAAGGTTCTCTTCTTCCACCTATGCCCAGCAGGGCCCTCCACTTTTACATATTCAGCTGAAGCCCTGGATCCCCCTCTAAGTGCTCCCAGGCTGGTGGTTTAGACCCTGGGAGCTGTGGTTGGTTGGTATTGTTGCTCTCCTCATGGTGCCACAAACCCTTTCAGCTCCTTCAGGCTTCACTCTAACTCCTCTATTGAGAACCCCATGATCAGTTCAATGGCTAGTTGTGAGCATCTGCCTCTGAATATGTCTGACTCTTGAAGGCCTCTGAGGAGATATCCATATCAGGCTCTTATCAGCATGCACTTCCTGACTTCCATATCAGCATCTACCTTTGGTGACTGCACGTGGGATAGATACTCAGGTGGGGTGGTCTTGAGACGGCCCCTCCTTCAGTTTCTGTCCCTCACTTTGTCTCCATATTTGCTCCCTTGAGTATTTTGTTGCTCCTTCTAAGAAGGACCGAATCACCCTCACTTGGTCTTCCTTCTTTATGGGCTTCATGTGGCCTGTGAGTTGCATCTTGGGCATTTCAAGGTTCTAGGCTAATATCCAATAATCAGTGAGTGAATACCATGTGTCTTCTTTTGTGATTGGCTTACCTCACTCAGGATGATAATTTCTAGTTCCATCCATTTACCTAGGAACCTCTCGAATTCATTGTTTTTAATAGCTGAGTAATACTCCATTGTGTAAATATACCACATTTTTTGAATCCATTCCTCAGTTGAAGGACATCTGGGTTCTTTCCAGCTCCTGGCTATTATAAATAAGGCTGCTATGAACATAGTTGAGCATATGTCCTTGTTATATGTTCGAGCATCTTCTGGGTATATGCCTAGGAGTGGTATAGCTGGATCCTCGGGTAATGCTATGTCCAATTTTCTGAGGAACCGCCACACTGATTTCCAAAGTGGTTGCACCATCTTGCAGTCCCACCAACAATGGAGGAGTGTTCCTCTTTCTCCACACCCTCGCCAGCATCTACTATCACCTGAGTTTTTAATCTTAGCCATTCTGACTGGTGTGAGATGGAATCTCAGGGTTGTTTTGATTTGCATTTCCCTGACGACTAAGGATGCTGAACATTTCTTTACATGCTTCTCGGCCATTCGAGTTTCTTCAATTGAAAATTCTTTGTTAAGCTCTATACCCCATTTTTTAATAGGGTAATTTGGTTGTCTGGAGTCTAATTTCTTGAGTTCTTTTGTATATATTGGATATTAGCCCTCTATCAGATGAAGGATTGGTAAAGATCTTTTCCCAATTTGTTGGTTGTCGTTTTGTCCTATTGACAGTGTCCTTTGCCTTACAGAAACTTTGCAATTTTATGAAGTCCCATTTGTCAATTCTCGATCTTAGAGCATATGCCATTGGAGTTCTGTTCAGGAACTTTTCCCCTGTGCCCAAGTATTCGAGGCTTTTCCCCACCTTCTCTTCTATTAGTTTCAGTGTATCTGGTTTTATGTGGAGGTCCTTTATCCACATAGACTTGAGCTTTGTACAAGGGGATAAGAATGGATCAATTTTCATTCTTCTACATGTTGTCTTCCAGTTGAACCAGCACCATTTGTTGAAAATGCTGTCCTTTTTCCACTGGACAGTTTTAGCTCCTTTGTCAAAGATCAAGTGACCATAGGAGTGTGAGTTCATTTCTGGGTCTTCAATTCTATTCCATTGATCTTCCTGCCTGTCTCTGTACCAATACCAGGTAGTTTTTACCACTATTGCTCTGTAGTACAGCTTGAGGTCAGGGATGGTAATTCCTCCAGAAGTTCTTTTATTGTTGAGAATAGTTTTCGCTATCCTGGGTTTTTTGTTATTCCATATGAATTTGAGAATTTCCTTTTCTAACTCTGTGAAGAATTGAGTTGGGATTTTAATGGGGATTGCATTGAATCTGTAGATTGCTTTTGGCAAGATGGTCATTTTTATTATATTAATCCTGCCAATCCATGAGCATGGGAGATCTTTCCATCTTCTGAGATCTTCTTCAATTTCTTTCTTCAGAGACTTGAAGTTCTTGTCATACAGGTCTTTCACTTGCTTGGTTAGATTCACACCAAGGTATTTTATATTATTTGCAACTATTGTGAAGGGTGTCATTTCCCTAATTTCTTTTTCAGTCTGTTTATCTTTCATGTAGAGGAAGGCTACTGATTTGTTTGAGTTGATTTTATAACCAGCCACTTTGCTGAAGTTGTTTATCAGGTTTAGGAGTTCTCTGGTGGAAGTTTGGGGGTCACTTAAGTATACTATCATATCATCTGCAAATAGCGATATTTTGACTTCTTCCTTTCCTATTTGTATCCCTTTGACTTCTTTTTGCTGTCTAATTGCTCTGGCTAAGACTTCCAGTACTATATTGAATAGGTAGGGGGAGAGTGGGCAACCTTGTCTAGTCCCTGATCTTAGTGGGATTGCTTCAAGTTTCTCTCCATTTAGCTTGATGTTGGCTACTGGTTTGCTGTAAATTGATTTTACTATGTTTAGGTAGGGGCCTTGAATTCCTGATCTTTCCAAGACTTTTATCATGAAGGGATGTTGAATTTTGTCAAATGCTTTCTCAGCATCTAGTGAGATGATCATGTGGTTTTTTTCTTTAAGTTTGTTTATATAGTGGATTACATTGATGGATTTCCGAATATTGAGCCATCCCTGCATTCCTGGGATAAAACCTACTTGATCATGATGGATGATTGTTTTGATGTGGTCTTGGATTCGGTTTGCTAGAATTTTATTGAGTATTTTTGCATCGATGTTCATAAGGGAGATTGGTCTGAAGTTCTCTTTCTTTGTCGGGTCCTTGTGGGGTTTGGGTATGAGTGTAATTGTAGCTTCATAGAACGAATTGGGTAGTGTTCCTTCTGTCTGTATTTTGTGGAATAGTTTGAAGAGAATTGGTATTAGGTCTTCCTTGAAGGTCTGATAGAATTCAGCACTAAAACCATCTGGTCCTGGGCTTTTTTTAGTGGGGAGACTTTTAATGACTGCTGCTATTTCCTGAGGGGTTATGGGACTATTTAGATGGTTTATCTGCTCCTGGTTTAATTTTGGTACCTGGTATCTGTCTAGGAAATTGTCCATTTCATCCAGGTTTTCCAGTTTTGTTGAGTATAGGCCTTTGTAGTAGGATCTGATGATTTTTTGAATTTCTTCAGTTTCTGTTGTTATGTCTCCCTTTTCAGTTCTGATTTTATTAATTTGGATACTGTCTCTGTGCCCTCTGGTTAATCTGGCTAAGGGTTTATCTATCTTGTTGATTTTCTCAAAGAACCAACTCTTGGTTTTATTGATATTTTGTATTGTTCTTTCTGTTTCTATTTGGTTGATTTCAGCCCTGAGTTTGATTATTTCCTGCCTTCTACTCCTCCTGGGTGTATTTGCTTCCTTTTGTTCTAGAGCTTTTAGTTGTGCAGTCAACCTGTTAGTGTGTGCTCTTTCCAGTTTCTTTTTGTAGGCACTTAGAGCTATGAGTTTTCCTCTTAGCAGTGCCTTCATGGAGTCCCACAAGTTTTGGTATGATGTGTCCTCATTTTCATTGAATTCTAAAAAGTTGTTAATTTCTTTCTTTATTTCTTCCTTGACCAAGTCATCATTGAGTAGAGAGTTGTTCAGTTTCCATGTGCATGTGGGTTTTCCATTGGTTTTGTCATTATTAAAGATCAGTCTTATTCCGTGGTGATCTGATAAGATGCAAGGGATTATTTCAATCTTTTTGTATCTGTAGAGGCCTGCTTTGTGACCAATTATATGGTCTATTTTGGAGAAGGTACCATGAGGTGATGAGAAAAAGGTATATTCTTTTGTTTTAGGATGAAATGTTCTATAGATGTCTGTTAAGTCCATTTGGTTCATAACTTCTGTTAATGTCAAAGTGTCTCGGTTTAGTTTCTGTTTCCATGATCTGTCCATTGCTGAGAGTGAGGTGTTGAAATCCCCCACTATTATTGTATGAGGTGTAATGTGTGTTTTGAGCTTTAGTAAAGTTTCTTTTATGTATGTAGGTGCCCTTGCATTTGGAGCATAGATGTTCAGAATTGAGAGTTCACCTTGGTAGATTTTTCCTTTGATGAGTATGAAGTGTCCTTCCTTATCTTTTTTGATTAATTTTGGATGAAAGTCGATTTTATTTGATATTAGAATGGCTACTCCAGCTTGTTTCTTGGGACCATTGGCTTGAGAAATTGTTTTCCACCCTTTTATTCTGAGGTAGTGTCTGTCTTTGTCACTGAGGTGCGTTTCTTGTATGCAGCAAAATTCTGGGTCTTGTTTGTGTATCCAGTCTGATAGTCTGCGTCTTTTTATTGGGGAATTGAGACCATTGATGTTAAGAGATATTAAGGAAAAATGATTGTTGCTTCCTGTTATTTTTGTTATTAGAGGTAAAGTTATGTTTGTATCTTTTTTGGGGGTTGTTGGAAGATTACTTACTTGCTTTTCCTAGGTTGTAGTTTCCCTCCTTGTGTTGGCATTTTCCATCAATTATCCTTTGAAGTGCTGGGTTTGTGGGAAGATATTGTGCAAATTTGGTTTTGTCATGGAATATCTTGGTTTCACCATCTATAGTGATTGAGAGTTTTGCTGGGTATAGTAATCTGGGCTGGCAATTGTGTTCTCTTAGTGTCTGTATGATGTCAGTCCAGGCTCTTCTGGCTTTTATAGTCTCTGGTGAGAAGTCTGGTGTAATTCTTATAGGTCTGCCTTTATATGTTACTTGACCTTTTTCCCTTACTGCTTTTAGTATTTTTTCTTTGTTTTGTGCATCTGATGTTTTGATTA